CCAAACATGATTACTGCTTCTCTCAGCAAAGGGTAAAGTAGAGAAAGGGCAAAGCCTTTGTTGCCATGGAGAAAGTCTAGGGATGACCACCTGTCTCCATCCCCACCTCAATTCTATTGGCTGCAATTGACAAAGGCACCTGCATGAGATCAACGGGCAGACACCCAGAAGGCTGGTTATAGAAATAAATATCTAGAGTTTGTTTTTCTATAGATATTTTAAAAGTACACGAGCTCAGACCCGTCCCCGGTTGCTAACGTTAGACGATTACTCATTCTTCCTTCCAATCACGTCATGTATGAGATTCCAGGTGGCTGTGGGGTATTTGCTTACAACGCTACCACTGGTTTCCTTGTGAGCTGTTTATTTTTCCAGGCCTCAGGTCATTACATCAGCCCATGGTTTCTACGTGGGCCAAGAGTGCAGGCTTGGGAGTTGGGGGTTCCAGCCAGGAGGTGCTGTTGCCTCAGTGACCCCAAACATAGCAGTTATCCCAGCAGCAACTTCCTGGGTGAGGGAATAATAACCCAAACTGTGGCCAGTGGACCCAAAGCAGGTCAGCAAGCACAACATCCTTCCTTGGTAGATGAGGTCAGGGATGCTGTGACAGCTTACCTGTCTTTGGTAACACACACTCTCACGTAGAAGAGATGGGAGTGTCATTTTCATGGCCAGACTTGTAAGAAATGCATTTCTACCCTGCGTCCTTGCTGGTGGCTCTATCTTCAGGGAGCAGTTACCATGAGCTGCTTCACTTGCTGAAGCTCTGAGGAAGCTTAGGTGGCTCTGCTGGCCATGGAGGCAAGGACAGAAAAGCATGTCCCTCTTGGACTTAACTTACAGGACCAGTTCTAGGGCCTTCTTGAGGTTCCTGATCAGATCATGAAACAGTTAACTAAAAGGACAGGAAGAAAGGAAAGAACGAAATGGGGTTGCAGAGAAGGAAGTCAAACCACTTCACTGGAGACTATGAGAGACAACTTAACCCCCTGGGGCAGAGGGATATTGATATGGACCTTGAGAACATTGCTATGGTGCACAAAGAGAAGAGTGAAAGTATACATGACCCTACTTCCTGACAGACTGACTTTCCCAAAGGAGAAACAAAAAGACACATAAGTCATATGGAGACAAAAAGACAGAAAGTGTCTGCATACAGTCAAATGGAAAGCCAAAGGATAGGGCTGGGGATGTAGTCCAATGGTAGAGTGCTTGTCTAGCATGCATAAGGCCCTGGGTTTGAGCCTTAGTACAGAAAACAAGCAACAACAAAATCCTGAGGAATATGGGATGAAGAATTAGCCCATTTTTGTCACTTATTTCATCTCTTTATCCTCTTAAAATTTAGACATTTTAACCCTAAGAATTTTAAGAAATGCTTTGGGGCATGATGGCACAAAATCCTAAGATCCCAGCTATGAGGGAGCCATAGGTAGGAGGATAGTGGTCCAAAGCCAGCCCAAGCAAAAACACAAGGCCCCATTGAAAAAATAACTAAAAAGCAAAAATGGGGGTGGGGGACATGGTTCAGGAATAAGAGCACTTACCCTGAGTTTAAAACCCAGTACTGCCCCTACCCCCCAAAAAAATGAAAGAAAGAAATGCCTTGATAACTAACCCCTGATACAAAAGAACTCAGGAGGAGTTCATATTTCCTTATAAAAGCAGCAGGGGCTCTGGCAAAACACTTATCTATGAGATGTTGCTCCCAAGTTCCAGGATGGTAGCTGGCCAGGTACATCTTTCTGAATGCAAAAGAGTTCATGGTGCCATGGAAGGCAATGGAGGAGAAGTGTGTGGTGGAGGTAAGCATGGAAGAGAAGACCAGAAAGGCAAATCTGTCAATGTTGAACCTGCCAAGGACTCAAAAGGCAACACTGACCATAATGAACACATGACAAAGCCTTAAAAACAAGGACCAAAATGTTCAGGAGGAGAGACTGGATACATTTGCAGGCTTGTGTGTCATGTTATGTTATTGCACAACTTCAGGCACCCAGTGGAACCTTTCCAACATCAACAGTCCCCAGGCCAAAAAACAAACCTGGCGTCATAGGGTCTGAGTGTGAAAAAAGGATATTTGGGGTGTAAAAGAAACTGGAACAGCTTTTTTGTCTCTCCACTAAGAGACAGATGAGAAGAACAAGCTCTCGCCCAGATGGACTTCACAGAGTTCAGCTCCAACCTCTGAAGTTCGCCTGAACCCCGAAGCTTCCATCAAACTTTTATGGAAAATGGTCTCAGGTACCCGATCCTGAGATTCTAGTCCTTACCAGAGCCAGCTGCCCAGACACAAGTTAGCATCAAAGTATGTCTGACTCCTCATCAAATCAAATGTGACAACATGTGAGAAAGGGTTAGCACAATACATAAAGTGCTCCATCAGCACAGACATTGCTTTGTGTTGTTTTAAAATCATGTACAGCACCTCTCCTATGTACCTGGAGTTGTATATCTGTAGTTGAATCCTCACAAAAATCCTTCAAGATACTACCTTTGTTTGATGTCTAAGGAAAACAAGACTTGGAGAAGTTGATTAACTCTCCAAGCTCATCAAGCCTCACAGTGGGAAGCTAGCCTTGAAGCTGAGCCTATAGATCTGTCTGATTCTAAAGTCCACACTTTGGTCATTATATGGGTTATGCAATAGATTCCTGGCCTCGCTGCCTACCAAACCAGACCTCAGGGTGCTTCCTTGCAACCCATTTGTGAGAGCATGCACTGGAATGGGATGGTAAAGCCTCAGAATGGTCCACATGAGCCTTGTGAGCTGCCTCAGGAATTTCTGTGCTAATGCAGGCTTACCCGGGTGTCACAACAGGAAGCATTTCAGGAGCCATAGTCCCTGCTTCTTGGTCTATGAAGTGGTCAAAAAACTTGAGTGGAACAACCCCATACACACACTACCATTCCAAATGCACTATTCAACCGGGGGCCAGCAAACCTTTTCTGTAAAAGGTCAAAAAGTAAATATTCTAGGATTTCTAAACTAGGTAGAGAAATTAACCACTGGTTAATGAAAAAGAAACTCACGGAAGCAATTGCTAAATGTCAAGTGAGCATTTCAAGCAAAAGGTTCTGTCTGAATAATGCAGAACACTCAGCCTCCTATCTACCTAGGTCAGGGAATGAGAATTAATCCTCTCACCGGGGACTTGCAGGGTTTCAGGGACAAAGAAGACCATTGGCAAATTTATTTCCAACAAAAGATACTACAGGTGCAAACCCCTTCTCTTTGACTTCTACTATTTCCCTAACAGTGGGGGGGTGGGAAAAGGAGATCCTTAGAAGCCTGTCTGATGATGCCTTTGCTTAGGGTGACAATCATAAATTCTTTCCTGGTTGAAGAATTCTCACAATAAGACCTATCATTAATATCTCCATTATTCCTACCAATAATGATGATAACATTAAATACATGTATTTACAATTTACTATGCATTTACTATTTGTCACTTGGTCAGCATCAATTAGGGACCATATAGACATCAGATTAATAAATCTTTAATCATGGTTTTTGAGAGACAGATCATGATCCCATTCTACAGATGAGGTCCACAGGGATTATTTGAGTTGACTTGGATCACTCACTAAGTGTTGGAGCCAGAATGTGACCCCAGATTTTGCCGATCCCAAAGCCTGTGCTTTAATCATTGTACTTACTATTCTGTCAAAGACTCTAGTCCAAGGCTGTTCACATGATCTCCTTCCATCTCACCATCCCATATTTCCATCTTTTATCAACTAATGAACCAGGCATATGGAGAGGTTCTGAGCCCAAGTCACAGAGAAAATCCACAGATGCTGCATGAATTTACCTCTTGAACTCTCACTCCCTGCATTTTAGTCCCCACACTGCCCCCTGGCACACAGGTAAACAAAGAGGGACAAGTGACAGCAAACTCACTGATCAATGGACATGTAATACTTTGCCTGCCCATTCAAAAGCAGGTATCTTTTTTCTACACTCTTTGCGACCCATAAGGTAAATTCGACAAACATAAATTATGCAAAGTATTATTTCTCACAAATGAAGTCTTAGGTGAAAGGAGCATGATCTTCCCTGAAAGAGATACAGATTTGGTTTGTTAATACATTTTTCTGGTGATGAACATTTAGTCTCTATTGACGGCCATTGAACTTGATTGACTTTGTTCTTTGTTGGTAGTAAGTAAACTCTACAAATAAATCCTACGAATCTAATCACCCTTCAAAAATTATTACCTTCTGAGCTGGTGGAGTGGCTCAAGTGGTAGTGCACCTGCCTACCAAGTGTGAGGCCCTGAGCTCAAACCCCAGTAGTGCCAAAAAATTATCTCCTTTCTTTAAAGGATTAAGTCAGTGCCAAAACCTGACCACTCACAAGATCCCTGGAAGATCACGTCAGAAAAGACATGACTGTAAAAAGTTTTTAGATTCATAAACACACATAGTAGCAATTGTTTCCAAGCTTGAATTCCAATGTTTTATGCCCAACAATTTTTCTTTCAAATTCTTCTGCATGGCATATAGAAAGCTAATCAAAACATTAAAACATACAGTTAAATTTTTTAGCTAAAAGGATCAACTACTTATGAAAGACAATCCTGAGATGGTAATTAAAGAAAATTAAAATTAACTCATCCAGTCTCCTTATTTTATAGCTATAGAAATTGAAGACCAGGCTCGAGGTGTGGCTCATGTGGTAGAGTGCTTTCTTAGCAAGCTCAAGGGCCTGAGTTCAAACCCCAGTAATGCCAAAAAAAAAAAAAGAAAAAAAAAAGACAAGCAGGTAAGTTAAATAGTTAAATGACTTGCTCAAAACCATATTGTAAAACTGGGTATGATGGTGCACAGCACTCAGAGGCTGAGGCAGGAGGATTGAGAGTTCAAGGCTAGCCTGAGCTACATAGCAAGATCATGTCTTAAAAAAACAACAGATAAACAAAAAAACATTCCACACAGTAGATAGTCAAGAAGCAACCATGGAGTACATGGGTACATATATGAAAATTATTTACCTGAATTTCTTACATTGGTGTTGTTCAGTTTGGAGTCCTTGATTACTAAGTGCTTAATCCATAGGGTGGGAGCTGTGATTTCTAGAGGGAGAAAAAGAGACAGAAATAGAAAAGGTCTGAGCAAAGAGAAATATATGACACGGCATTTAACCCCAGACTTTCAGTAAGCTTTTTAAAAAGACCTGAGACATCAGAGCTTCAGCTATCTCCCTCCTGACAAATCGACCTTGTCCCAACGCCAACACCTCTCCCTTTCTCACAACGGAAGCTCCTCTCCCCACCAGCTTGCAAGAGGCATCCTGTGCTGGGAGGCAGAGTGGTCAGAGTCCGGAGGCGCCAAGCCACTCCATCCAGGAATAAAAATATTATCCCAGGAGGTAAGGAACATGGGCCAAGCCAAGTCCCTCTCAGCTGCTTCCCAGGGAGAAGATTTAAAGGGGATAAATCAACAAACGAACGCCAAACCAACCACAGAGACCATTTTAGAGGAAACAGATGAACCACAGCAGATTCAGCTTGCTGAGACTCTGCTCCACATAAGGAAGAAAGGAGCGACGCTAACACGTGCTCCAACACCCTTTCTCATGGTCTCCCTGAGCACAGGTTGAGCACCTTCAACCAGAGCGCTCGAGGGTGCCTACCAGCTCCCAGGACTTGGTCACCCCACGGACATCGGGTATGGAAATGCTTGGCAACCCTGAACATACTGTAGAGTGACAAGTCTTCAGTGAAAAGTGTTCCAAGATACCAAGATCTCCTTTCCCCACACAGTCTCCCAGGACTCAGACTTGTCAATAATTTGTGAATCACCAAGACATTTGAATTTTTAGGCACAAACCCACCTATGTTCCACTCAATGAACAGGTTGCAAAAGGTATCTTTCAATCCTTCTCCCCAGAGCTGAGCCTGTTCTAGGAACATCTCTAGCTATAGGGCCAACCAGTGTCATAATTTCTTTTTATTTCACTGTCCCATTGTCTCACGATCTGGGCCTAGATACCCTCATCTGAGAGTTGCTAAGAGTTTGCTGCACATTGCACTGGAAGCTGGACTTTGTTGTCAAACTTTCTGGAACCTCACTCTGCCAAACTTCCTGTTCCTGCTCGTGGGAATGTGGAATACTCAGTAAAGTACCCGAGAACGGAGACCCTGAGCAGCTACACCTTGAATGCCGACCAGACTTCTGCATGCTAGACTCCTTCCATCCACTCCTCATGCCTGCAAGGACTTCCAACCTCTATTCGGTCATGAGCCATTATTTCACTTGACCTGGAATTTCACCTCTCCCACATGTCTTGACTCAACTCTCCAAGTCCTACAACCCAGCCAAATCAGCCCCACTTATCAATCTCTTTCATGCTACTTCCCTCATTGTGTCCTATTCCTGCCATATTCCCTCCTAGGTCATGCCAGTCCCCATGCCTAGAATATCCTGTTCTCCTCTCTGCTTGCAAATTTCAGTTCAAGGCCCATCTCTTCACAGAAGCTCTTCTGGGACCACTCTGACCTTTTTCTTATATAAGTGTCTATTATAATGAAAATCAAGACCATAGAATTTAGCACATAAATCTCTCTAGTGGTTACAGCTGTCTTGAGAGCAAAGGTTGACATTTGTGTACTCCCCTCTTATACCTCAGGGACCTTCCACCATACTAGCTAGACACAAAGCAGGCACTTATAAGTGTTAATCCATGTGCTAAAGGCACACTGCTGGCTTGACTCTCTTTTTTCAGCCATGATTCCCTGGTCTTGGCAGCTCAGAGGGTCTGTACAGACCATATTTTTGTTGGACATCAGGAGACAGCCAGGAAGCCTGGGGAGAACAGAGGGCCTTTCCAAAAATGGACAGTGTACCAGTTCCTTGTAGGATTGACATTTTTTAAAAGGTTAAGACAATCCAACATACACTGGGAAAAATTGAAATTAAAAAACAAAATAGTAATAATGAAGTTTAAACAAACATCTTAAGTTAAGACCTTAACTTAAGAGAATGAGAGATAGAAGTAACACAAGGGCTTACCATCTCCATCGAACATGGGCTGGGTCTCCATTGTGGGTGTTGGTTTAGAGCCGTCATCTGAATTGAGGGTTAAAAAGAAGCGAAAAGAGACTACCATTATTGAGGTAAATACTATCTACCCTCCAGCACTGTTGAATGGTTGGGGTTTGTACATGGCCCGGCCAAGTCCCAATGAAGAGCCCAAAGGAAAAGAAAAGGAAGACGAGAACACCAAGAAAGGAGAACCAGAGAGAGACAACAGTAAAACAAACCCAGGTGTATGCTCACCATTCCAGGGACACACAAAGGAGGTGGGTGCCTTAGCACTGGAGGACCCTTTCTCATAAATCTGAGGATATCTATATGACTGCCCAACTTGCTTCTCCCCTAACAGAGGTGGGAGGAGGCCTCTACCCCAGCATCCCTGTACTTTAGCCAGGCATGTTAGAATAACATTGATAGCACATATGGCATCAAATTCTTGTGTCCCCAGTTCTGTTCCTGTCTTCTTCTGAAAAGTACTAGCTTAGAACCTTTTGCTAGTGGCCTCAACTAAGAAAAACAAGAGACCCAGGCCTTATTCCTTTCCAAGTCCTAGCTGTTTCTCCTTCTCATGTAAAAAAAAACAAAAAATGACAAGGTAGAAAGGACCATTCTCTCTCTCCAGCACATTAAAGAAAATCAGGAAGGAATCCTTAGAACATTTTAAACTATAAAACAGCATGCATCACAATTCCCAGCAAACAAAATGGGAGATGACATGGGAAGGCACAGAAACCACCCTCGCCTGGTTTTGAAATGTCTAACATTTGATGATGGGAGAAGGGAGTTCCCAGTAGCAAAGTCCTAATGCTTATCATTCCAGTGTTGGCAGCCTTTTCTGCAGAGCAAGAGCCTCTGCAGGTCAGGAGTTAGTGCAGACTTTGTTTGTTTACCTTTTGGGACTGAGTTACTTTCATCAAGGCCCCCAAATTTTTAACTTAGAGAAGTGTTTTTCAACCTTGTTTTTATTATTGCCCGTCTCAGGAGTATTTTTAGACAATTTTTTCCTAATTACCTCCTTAACAAAATTTTAATGAGATAAACTGCATCTGTTCATATAATGTTGACATATATTTGTGCTTTATATGTAAAAAAGTATGCACTGCCCCTAAAGAAATGATTTCATCCCCTTGATGATGCATGAGAGCAGGTATCTTCACCCATCTTGAGAATACATGGTTTAGATATTTCTCTTTGTTTTCTCCCTCCATGGGAGGAGGAAGGTTGAACACTATTGTTTCAGAGGTTTGATGATTACACTGTCCTGCTCCTCCCAAGATCCCCCAGAAGTAATTTAAAATGGAACACAATAATCTCTATTAACTGTTTTTGGAGAATTCAAGTTCTCAGATGGTCTGTGAGATACCAGTCAGACCACCAGTAACAATCCCTGGCCATCTGGAGCTCCCGGTACTTTTGGCTGACTTCCCTGCATTTTATCAAAGGAGGGAGAGAGAAAAGAGTCCAGATCTCTTTCTTGTGTCAACATCCCACTCTTGGAATCTTAAGATTTGAGAGTTGTTGAGACCCACATCCTTGTTGAATGCTGAGGCCAACAACCTGACAGTTGTGTGACACCTGACCCTGCTATTATTCTCATGTGCTGACCCCAAGACCCATCTCTCTTGGGGCCAAAGGGATCCCGGACTATCTGACAATCATCCCCCAAAATAAGATGGAGTAGAAAGAGAGGAGTAACAATGTTGAATATTTTACTACCTCAGAATGGATTCCAAATAGGCATCTTTTGATGCCAAACTGTGAGCTTGATCTGGAAGTCATTGAGGGAGAATAAACACAGAACGGAGCCACACAATGTCATTTTTAAAATAGCATCACTTCCCCTGACTCTATTAACACCTCTTTCCGTTGAATTCAACAAGCCACTGGATGGAGTCTTTTGGCAGCTGCTATGCACATTTGGTTGCTTTGCCGGATACAGAGTTCACAGTGTAAACAGCCCAGCACGTATGCTCAATCCCTCCTCACAGAGAGACTTCACTTTAGGAATCTTAAGTGCTAACAAAGAGAAAGTGATAGCTCAAACATTCCAAGAGAAACAACGGTGAGAACCCCACTGCCAAATGGCTTATGCAATATTTTAATATTCAACATAGACATTAAAAGCCTCCCATATTGCAAGAGCTATTATCTCTGTTTAGAGCAAGACAACTAATAATATTCTGTTTCCCTCTACTGTCACCCAGATGAGAGTTCAGGACCAGTGATCAGCAGAAAAGGTCTGTGCCCAAGCAGAGCAAGGAGGGCTTCCAGGAAAGGATCTGCATGTGTGCAAGTGGAGGACTTCCACAGCTTGCCCAGGCACAGGCACAGAAGCCCACAAAAGTGTGAAGCCCACATGCAGGGAATGAATCCTTCAGGGCAGGGTCACCAAGGGTGAACAGATACAGCTGCTCTGCCACAAGGAGGCCCTAGATGGAGATCTTTATGAAGTGAGAAAAGAAAGATGCCCTGCTGCCAGAAGCCACCTGTGAAATCCAGCATGCCCAAAGGCCAGGAAACCAAGCCAAAGCCAACAGGGCCCTCTGGCCATCATCTCTGGGCACCCGGGCACCTGGCTTCTGACACAGCAGATAAATGCAACTCTTCTACCAAACACAAGTCCAAAGCCTAGGTCCAAGGTCCATTAGCAGTTCTGCTTCCAGGAAAGCCTTGGAATGGGCCCTGGAGAGAGAATAAGATTTCTCTGATTTCGGTCCCAAGTAAGATCACACTTTCAACTGTTTTACATCCAATAAGTCAAGTAAACTGAAGCCCTCACTTTTCTTCTCTGGGCAGCAATAACTTCTTCTAAAAATGAAGGATGCCTGCCTACTAAGCCTCGAGATACCACGTAAGTGTAAAAAACTTTAAAGGCCTATTAAAGGAACTATATAATTCCATGAGTGCTAACAGTCTTATTCAACTGTTTACTTTTAAGATTGGATTTACTAAATTAAAATCCTATCAAGATTTTTTAAATTAGATAAGCCTTAAAATTCAATACAATGAGAATCTTATTTAAAAATTATGAAAAATATTTTAATAGACATTTCACTCAAAAGAGACATGCAGATGGCCAATAAATACATGAATTATTCATTAGTCACAGGACGGTACAAATTAAAACCACAAAGGGATAGCTCTAAACACCCACTAGAATGGCTAAAATAGAAAAGATAGACAATACTAAGTGTTGTTAAGGAACCCTCATTCATTGCTAGTGGGAATGTATAGTTTAGTAGCCACTTTGGAAAAGAATTTGGCAATTTCTTTAAAAAGCTAAACATAAACTTAGCATTCAACTCCCAAATTTTATTCCTAGAAATCTATCAAAGAGAAATAAATACATATCCACGCAAAGACACGTACATAAATATTCACAACATTATTCACAAGAGCCTGAAACTTGAAACAGCTCAAATGTCCATCAACTGGTGAATAAACTGTGATAGATCCATATAATAAGATACTATTCAACAATGCCAATGAGTGACAATGTAAATGAAGAGCCTCTCAAAACATCATACTAAATGAAAGGAGCAGGTGTAAACACCACATATTGTATGATCACACTTATATGCCATGTCTAAAAATCCATAGAGACAGAACAAAGATCAGTGGTTGTCTAGGGCTGAGGACAGGAGTAGGGTACATCTATAAATAGGCTGGAAATTTCTTTTGGGGGTGATAGAAATGTTCTCTGGCAATGGTTGCACAACTCTATAAATTTACTAAACTCATTAGATAGTACATTTACAATAGATGACTTTTTGGTATGTAAGTTAAACTTCAATAAAGCTGTTAAAACAAAAGGGAGGGAGTACCAAAGTTATTGGAGACAAATCATAATCATTGGGTGGCAGGAGTTAGATTATTTACCAATCCTTAATATGTATTGGGGTGGTGGGGAGACTCTTCCATATATGTTAAAGAAAAATATAAATGAATCTCAGGTTACATATATGCATATGACGATTTCATGCCTGATGCTTATTCCTGATGATTCTTTTGGATCTCAAAAAGTAAGGTTTTATTTCACTTTACTACCATAATATTCTTCCAGACCAAAGGGGAAATGATAGAACCCTGAAGAAAGTCAATTTAAAGATTGCCATTTTTCTTCCAGGGAGGGAGAAAAATATTAATTTTAAAACATTAAATAAATAAATAAATAAAATGTCAAGATCAACAATAACAGTATTATCGTAGTTTGCAATGCTTAGTTTCTGGCAGGTGGCTTTCCTCATCTACTTGCACCATCAGCCAGGGAGGAGGAAATCACCAGGCAGATAAAAAGAGAATTGAGTGTCAATACAAGCAAGTGATAGACTCAAGGCCCCAGAGGCAGTGAGAAGCTTTGGAAACTGCCCAGATGCAGAGCCCTGGCATTTGGCCTTCCAAGGCTTCCCAGCCCCCACCCATGCCTTGTCCTTGCAGGTGCAGCCCCAGAAAGTTGCAGCCCCCGCATGGGCTCTGGGATCCTATACAGACAGTGGGTTTGTGTGACAGCACAATTCCTTGCCCTGCAAGAAGGCCTGGCCCATGCACAGACAGCTGGAAGTCACTTCGACCCCCGATGACACCGTTCAAAGCCTCCTCTGTTTGGCTTTTTGATTCCTGATTGACATTTGCTGGCGAGGGGAGATAAATGCTGGGCTGTGGACAATGTTGATCCCTCTGACTATTCTCAAGGAAAGACTTTTCAGAATAACAAACAAAACAAAACAAAACCCCCAAAACATTGGTGTGCTTAAGGGACTGAATAGAGCCCACGAGGTCCAGTGAAGCAGGGCTGGCCCTTTCAAGGGACTGGCAAGTCCATTGAGGAGTTAATTGTCTGGGTGTACAATGAGTTTATTCTGACCACATACAAAGAGCTTTCTCTTCCAGGTCCTTCAAAAGCAAGTGTGTCAAAGGGGCCAGAGGAGGAATCTGTGTTAATGGCATCTCTTGGGGTTTCCTGAGACTGAGGAGTGTTGGGGAATGACACAAAAAAGAAAGAAAGAAAAAAGAAGGAAAACTCCACCCCCATC